ATGGGTGAGGCTTATGGTGGAAACTACTTGAGAAACTGCACAAGAACGCGTTAACAAAAATGATATGAGAATTATGGGGGACCTGGGAAGAACTTACAGCGCGGTATGAGCCTCAGGACTTGGCAAAGGTTGCTTTAGCTTCAGTGTGTGGCAAGGAATAGAACCACGTGCTTGTTTTGATCTGAAGATGCTCGCAACTATGTTTTAGAACTCTCACTTTTTGAATAATTTTTGGTTTTGCTCTTGGCCGTTTCTGCACACACTCTTTTTTGAATGAGGTTGGAAAGGCTTGTATATATAGTAATGAATGAGAATCAGTCACATGATGAGCCTTTAACCATTGCAATTATGCTTGAGATTTTGCCATAACCTCCATTAAAGCAACTTGTCATTCTTGTCAAAATTTGAATTTCTTGCTTGGAATAGGCCTTGCACGAATTTGGAAGGTGAATGATGGTGTATCAAAGCTATTCAAACTCAAAGATATCCCTCCATTAACTTTCTTGATTTTTATTTGAATTTTAAAGATTTAAAATGATTTAAATCAAATAAAATTAAATAAAAATGGAAAAATTAATTTTTAATCTTGAAATAAATTGTGGGACACGTGGGAAGCATGGCCAAGCTGAACCAAGTGGAAAAAGTGGGCCCCTTTTGTCAAAAATGAACTTTCAAGGATAATTGACTTTGGCCATTTCACAAAAATTTCCCAACTTCTCCAATGCATATCTTGCTAAATTTTGAAGCTATGAACATGTTCTTGGACATTTTTGAAAGGTCTTGAAGTCCTCTAACCAATGTCTTTGGTCCCATGTCATTTTGATTTACCAATCTCAAGTTATGGTCTTTGACTTAAAGTGCCTTTTTGTTGACTTTTGAAAATGACCTATAATGTTGAAATTGATAACTTTTTGTGAGAGAATTTCTTGGACTTGGAATGTGAAGATGAATTGTAGGAAATGTCCTCCCCTTCAAGATGAGAATTGGATGGGATTTTTCTGATGAACCATGAAAAAGTTATGCCTTGGTCAAGTTACAGTTGACTTTTCAGCTGTCCAAAAATAGAAACCTTTGACACCTTGATGATTTTTGAGCCATTCTTGTGAAATCATGATCAAGACTTGATCAAATGATGATTGTGGCTTCAAAATAAGATGTTGACAAAAAAATTTGACTTTTGACTGCCAAATGACCATTTTGCCCCTACAGTTGACTGTTGAGCAAATGGGACTTTTGACTGTGCAACTTGACCTTGTGAGCCTTGAAACTTGACATGTAGGTGCTTGACAATGTATATGGGCACATGTGACTTGATTGAGCCCCTTGAAAACCTCAACTTCCTTGCAAGAACCAAAACCCTAGTTTAACTGGCTTAGGAGGATGGTTGACTGTGTAGCCCTTGAGTAGACCTTGAACCATTTGAGGTGATGCTTGGCAAAACTTTGAAGAATATGGGAGAGCAAATTTTGGGGTACAACATACATTCTGATGTGTGTGGACTATTTCCAGTACCTTCACTTGGAGGAAACAATTATTTTGTGTCTTTTATGGATGATTTCACAAGAATGGCATGGGTAACACTCATCAAGTTCAAGCATGAAGTGTTTACTGAGTTCCAGAAATTCAAAGTAAAGGCTGAGAAGCAGAGTGGTCAAAAGTTAAAAATTCTGAGAACAGATGGTGGAGGTGAGTATAACTATACAATGTTTCAGAAGTTCTATGAGGAGAGTGGAATAGAACATGAGGTTACTGCTCCATATACTCCTCAGCACAACGTTCTTGCTGAAAGAAGAAACAAAACTTTGCTTGATATGACCAGAAGCATGCTGAAAGAGAAAAAGCTACCTCACGTGCTATAGGGAGAAGCTATTACCACATCAGCATATATTCTGAACAGGTGTCCAACAAAGAAATTGGAGGAAGTCGTTCCTTTAGAGAAATGGACTGGAGATAAGCAAAGTGTCAGTCATCTGAAGGTGTTTGGCTCTGTCTGTTACAAACACGTTCCAAAAGCTAGAAGACAAAAAATGGATGATAGAAGCAAAGTAATGTTGCTGGTGGGGTACCACAGTACAAGTGCGTATAAGCTTTATTGTCCAGAAATTAATAAAATTGAAGTCAGCTGAGACGTTGTGGTGAAAGAGTCTGAAGCATGAGATTGGAACAAATCTCAATCAGATTCTGGTGTAATACCAACACCAGAGTTAGCCTCTGAAGATGTTTTAGAAAGTTCAGAAGATGAATCTGATCCTGAAGATTTTGAACATGAGTCAGAAGAAGATTCAGGAAATGGATCTGATTCTGATCCAGATGCTGATGATGATCCAGAATCTGGTGGTGATCATAGTTCTGAAAGGGAAAACTCTGAAGGTGGTAACTCTGAAAGTAGTAGTTCTGGTGCAGTTTCAGAACAAGCTCAAAGACCACAGAGAATCAGACAAAAACCAAGAAGGTTTGCATATTTTGACATGTTGCAGGATAATAAAGTTGACTCTGAAGGAGAAGTCGTTCAGTGTGTCATGTTAGTAGATTCTGAACCAGTGGGCATTGAAGAAGCTCTCAAAAAGAAAATATGGCTTAATGCCATGAAAGAAGAACTTGAGGCAATAGAAAGAAACAAAACTTGGAAATTGGCTAAACTTTCAGATAAGAAAAAAGCCATCAGCGTCAGATATATTTTTAAGTTGAAATTTAAGCCAAATGGTTCTATTGGCAAGCACAAAGCTAGAATAGTAGCTAGAGGTTTTCTTCAAAAACCTGGGCTAGATTATTTTGAGGTGTTTGTGCCTGTAGCTAGGCATGAAACAATCAGACTGGTGATTGCTTTAGCTGCAAACAGAAAATAGCCTTTAATGCATCTAGATGTGAAGTCTGCATTTCTGAACGGTCCATTACAGGAAGAAATTTATGTGTCACAACCTCCTGAATTTGTGGAAAAAAACCAGGAAGGGATGATATACAGGTTAAATAAAGCTCTGTATGGACTGAAGCAAGTGCCTAGAGCTTGGAATCTGAAAATTGATTAGTTTTTCAAGAAGCAGAGGTTTCAGAAGTATGAGATGGAATATGGAGTTTATGTACAACACTCTGATAACAATATGATTCTGGTGTGTCTCTATGTTGATGACATTTTGCTAACGGGTAGCTGCCCAGAAGATATAAAGAAGTTCAATGAAGTTCTGATGAATGAGTTCGAGATGACAGATCTAGGAAAAATGACATATTTCCTAGGGATGGAGATTTTGTACTCGAAGAAGGGTATCATTCTGCATCAGTTAAAATACGAACAAGAACTTCTGAAGAGATTTAAGCTGCAGAATTACAAAATTGTTGTGACACCATCAGAAACCAATCAAAAATTGGATTCTGACTCTGATGGTGATTCTGTTGATTCAACAACCTTCAAACAATTGGTTGGTTCTCTAAGGTATTTATGTAATACTAGACCTGACATTTGTTATGCAGTTGGATTGATTAGTAGATTCATGAGTAATTCAAAGTGGTCTCATTTTCAACCCGCTGTCAGAATTCTGAGATATATTAAGGAAAATCTGAGATATGGAGTGTTGTTTCCTTCTGAAAGAAAGACAGAATCAGAATCAGTAAGTTATTCTGATTCTGACTGGTGTGGAGACAGAGTGGACAAGAGAAGTACTTCTGGATACTTGTTTAAATTTCTGGGAGGTCCCATTTCCTGGAGTTCCAAGAAACAGCCTATCGTGGCTCTGTCAACATGTGAAGCTGAGTATGTCGCAAGTGCTGTAGCTGCTTGTCAAGTTGTTTGGCTTCTGAATCTCCTGCATGATCTGAAGGTCGAAGTTGAGGAACCTCTGAAGCTGATGATTGATAATAAGTCTGCAATTGATCTTGCCAAGAACCCAGTAATACTACATGGAAGAAGCAAACACATTGAGACGAAATATCACTTTCTCAGAAGTCAAGTGCAGAAAGGAGTGTTAGAAGTTCTGCATTGTAGCACTCAGAAACAGCTTGCAGATCTTCTGACAAAGGCAGTTAAAACAGATCAATTTCTTTGCTTGAGAGATAAAATTGATGTTGTTAGCTTCTGATAGAAATATCTAAATTAAAGGATGATATTGAAAATATAATTTAGTTAATGTGTACAATTCTCAATGCTTATTCTTTAATAGAGCCTTTTGACATTTCCATTTTTAATATAAATATGCTACCTAAGCTATCAATATTGTAACTCATTCATTTCTCTTCTTCTTTGTTATCATTCATTGCTTATTCTTCTTCTCTTCTTTCATTACCTTCGGCCGGCTAAACCACCACACTCTTTTATGCTTTGTGTGAAATCACTTTCAGCATTGTGCAATACATACTCTTTTATCCTTTGTATGAAATCGCTTTCAATCCATCCACACATGCATCAATCATGGACATTAATAAAATAATTTATAGTTTTTGAATCTTAATTAATTATTCATTAAAAGTAATATATATATATATATATATATATATATATATATATATATATATATATATATATATATATATATATATATATATATATGTGTGTGTGTGTCACATTAAAAGATATGTAAGAAATCAATTAAGTTGATTTGTAGAATTTTAAAGCTTTCTTAAAATTTTGATAGTGTTATTCTTTTTAGAGCCTATCACGTCACAATATAATAATATTAAAGGGTGGGTTCTAAGAATTATCTTTTATCTCTAAATTTATGAATTTTATTATTGTTTTAATTTTGAATCAGAAAATAATTGAGTTGTAATTTCTTGTTTTATGTGAATTATTAATTTGATGTTACATATAAGTGGTCAATTTGATTTATTTACTTATTTAATGGAAAATTCATTTAAACATTTGATTTATTAATAATATAGAACATAAGATTTAAAATGCAAAATAATTTAATGGAAGAATTCCTTGGATTGAAAGCGGTTGTTTGTACCAAAAAAAGCAGTCGATAGTAATAGTGTATTTATTTATTTACATTAGATATTGATATGAGAATTCAGACCCAAATTCCCTTTAGAAAGGGAGTAACAGAAACATGATCCTCTTCAAGTTTAAAAGTGTTGATGAGATCAGAACACCCTTCTTGAGTCACAAGCTTTAGACCCAATTCATCTTCGATATCGTCAGAAGCAGAAATAAGCAGAAACTCACATCCTTCATAGTTGAGAAAGTCAGGCGGGTCAGCCGGCCCAAATCTAACATGCCCCAGTTCTCCTTGCAGCCGAGCAGGAAACACCGCCTTCCGTTTCTTCTGCAAACCACCTCCACCTTTTTCCGGATTCTTTATTTGAATTATGAATGATCCCTCACGCTCAATGTTGAGTTCTTCTTGAGGTTCCCTCTTCTCACCTTCCCCCGGAAATTCAAGCTTGTAGATCAAATGAGTGTGGCTTCTTTTCCCACCACCCTCTGCTTTGTGCCTTAATATGCGGTATATGCCTTCTCCCAAGGCTCTAGCATCACTATTATGTCTCTGTCCTTTAGTTGAAGTTTCATACTCCCCTCCTCTAAGAGCATTCTTCACATGCTCTGCATTTGTCGTAACCATTTCAACAAAACCCCAATAAGGTCGGCTTTTCTCCTTTGGATCAGGTAGCTTTTTCCGTCCCATTACAATAACACGAAACAGTGCTTGCTTTTCAATGTTTACTTCCTATTATACAATTGCATGTCATGTCAGATTTAGTAGAAGAAATAGATACAATTGCATGTCATGTCAGATTTAGTAGAAGAAATAGATACAATTGCATGTCATGTGAGAAGAAATAAAAACGAAACAATAATTTAGACCTCCTGCTTGATGTTGGTATTTTCTTCTTGCTTTACTTCCACCGGCCTCTCACCGGACTCAGGTCGCATGATAATGTAGAGACGCTGGACATCATCAGCACTGTGTGCTTCTTCCTTGCTAACCTTAGGCCGGTAGAAGAAATATATCTCTCCCCTTTCCTGCGTGCGTATTTTTTTACAAGTTGAGAATGAAATGTAAAAGAGACAAAGAGAGAAACAATTTCAAACCTGAATTTCAATATGGGGTTGTGGTCGAATCTTCTCCTCTTGGCCCTGTCCCATTGAATGGTTGTCGTCGAATCTTCTCCTCTTCTTGGCCCTGTCCCGTTGAATGAATTGAAACAAGTCACTCCTTTTCTACTCTTCTAGTTCCCCAAAGAGAACAGAATAGGACACGTAACTCAAACGAGAAACCTCACGTGCCGTTTACAAGGGCAGACACGCTCCACACACCACACGTTCTTTATTTCATCTGCTGCCAAATGTCTACTCATTCAACTTTTCCTTTTTTAGACTTATCCATTTTCGGGCCTAGAATATCACTATTTTTAGAATTCAAATACTATATAATTTTAACTTCATAAAAAAAAGACTCAACATTTTAAAATGTAATATGAATAATTCTTTCTGAATCACTTTCAAACTAAATAAATTTCAACTGCATCGAAATCGTTCTGAAGATTGCTTTCTTAAGCGCTAAAGTTTCAATTTCAATAACTGGAAGGATATCTAAATTCCAAACAACACTTACAGAGATAAAGTTCTCATAATGATTACGCACACACCACTTTCTATTTATAGTATCATTGTTATTACTAAAAGTTGTATCCACATTACACTTAAGTCAATCCATAGTCAGTGAAATCCATTCTAGGCTATGCGAAGAATGAACAATATCATCTGAACTTTTTTGGACTTTAAACTAATCATTCAACCTGAGAAAAACAATAAGGTCCAATTTAGTCGCTTCTTCTTACTCACTATGTCAAATAAAATCGTTCATATTCTTTCAAATACCATCTATCAACACCGCAGACCTATCCGCTACTCTTTTATGCTCCTTCTTACAAATATCGAAAATAATAGAATTAAATTCTTGAAACAAGGGAATACGAGTATCTATAAGATTAGACAAACATGCTGTCCTCCAACACAGGTTTGGTTGCGTTACACTCTAGAAACAGATGTCACTCATCGTCGGTATCATGATCGCACAACTGGCAAGTTAACGGACACAAAACATAATGTTGATGGAGTCTCACATGAGTTGGTAGGCATTCCCTACAAATCCTTCATAAAAGATGTTTAGCTCTAGATGGTGCTTTTATGTTCCACAGATTACACCAATCCTCCTCCACTATATTGATATTTAGGAATTTATGAGAGTTGCACCAGATTCTATATCTTGATCTCACACTATAAACTCCATCGTGCTCTTTCTTCCAAATCATCCTATCTTTCTTAACATCCAGCAACAATGGAACCTGCAATATTTTCTCCGCATTTGCATCGTCAAAGAAATTCCCTATGATCACATTGTCCCATTGTTTCACATTAGGCAACCGAAGGGTTTTAACTGTAATTTCATAAACACCTTGTTTTTGTGGACCTCTCATACTACCTTCACTACCACTACATATCCAAGGTTCCTGCATGACCCTGATTTGACTACCATCACCAATATTCCACCTGCAATCTAAAGTTAGAACCTCTCGAGATTTTCATATACTCCGCAAGACAAAACTCGAATTGTAACCAAGAGAAGAATCAAAGAATGATTTATTAGGATACTACCTTGCTTTGAATATTCTGGATGCGAGAGCATTTGGTTTCGAGATTAAGTGTCACCCTTGTTGAGCCACCATAGCCATATTGAAAGCCTTAAAATCCCGGAAACCTAACCCACCCTCCTTTTTGGTACTTGCTAACTTCTCCAAATCCAGCCACCGGATGCCACCATTCTTAGTGCCACTTTCCCACCAAAAGGAGTTCAACATTGTTTCTATATCTTTAAAAACCGAATATGGGAGAATGAAGATGCTCATAACATACGAGAGAATAACTTGCAAAACTGATTTGATCATAACTTCTTTTCCCGCTTTTTAGAGAGATAAACCTTTCCAAGCATTAGTCCTATTCCAGATTATGTCCTTGATATAAGAAAAAATGGTCTTCTTACTTCTACCTATCATAGATGGAAGACCTAGGTACTTTCTAGTTCCCAGAACATGACTAACTCCCATAATTCTCGCTAGGTCCTTCTGAGCTGAATTTGATAAGTTGCGACTAAAGAACACCTCAGACTTAGAAAGATTAATTTCTTGGTCCGAGGCCTCATCATATGTGTTAATCACTTTCATAAGAGCTTTCACTCCAGTAAGGTTTTCCTGAAAAAACAAAAAACAATCGTCAGCAAAAAATAGATGAGACACGTTTGGTGCCCCTCTACAAATTTGAAATTAGCGTATATCTCCGCAATCCACTGAGTTTTTCTTAAGTTTGGACAATCCTTATGTAACAAGAATAAACAAGTAAGGAGACAGTGGGTCTCCTTGTCTTAGTCCTCTTCCTGGTTGAATTGGTCTTATATGGTCTGATTTCACAAGGACAATATAGTGTGCCAAAGTAACGCACATCATGATCCAATGAATTCATTTATCATCAAATCCCAGTCTGGTTAATACACCTTTTAAGAAACCCCAATCAAATTTATCACAGGCCTTGCTAATATCTATTTTAAGAGTCGAGCGCGCCTTATTTCTTCTAGTCTTTCTTTGAGAGCATGGATAACCTCAATGATTATCATAACATTGTCAAGAATTGACCGACCTTCTACAAAGGCCGACTGCTCCTATGCCACACACCTATTGAGTAAGAACTTCACTTTGTTTTCTAAAACCTGGATACAAGTTTGTACACTACATTACATAAATAAATTGGACAAAATTCATTCATATAATGAGGTGTGTTGCACTTCGGAATCAAGCAGATGTTGGTATCATTTAGATACAGCGGAAAATAACCTCTAGTTAACCAAACAGTAGCCGCTTGCCAAATATCATCTCTATGCAAATCCCATTATTTTTGGTAAAATACAGGATTAAGATTGTCGGGTCCTAGAGATTTGTTTGGATGCATATCACTCAGCGCATTATAAATTTCCTTCTTTGCAACCGGACGCAACAAGTTGGTATTATCTTCCTCAATGACCATCAGATGGAATAAGTTAAGAACCTGCTCATAACAACATCCTGTAGCTGTGAATAATGAAGCAAAATATTGTCTGGCCACACCACAAAGTCCATCCCGCTCTTTGATATCAGTACCTTCATCATTCATAAAAACCTCAATTTGTTTAAACTTCCTTCACGCAGTTACCGACTAATGGATAAAATGAGTATTACGATCACTATCACAATACTAATGCGTCTTAGCCCTTTAATTCTATAAAGATTCTGTTGGAGAAGAATTTTATCGTATTCGCTTTGGGCTTCGAAGAAGCGTGATGTCGCCTCCGTATCATGGCAGCCACGGTAAGCTTCCATTACTGACTTAAGATGCTTTAGTTCCTCCTTCTTCATTCTTCTATTAGTTTTATTCCACTTCTCTAGTTCCTTTGCACAAGATTGAATCTTAAGGGTTACATCTCCACTCTCATTCTGCTTCCACCCACTACTAACCACATTGTCAATATCTTCTTCCTTCGACAAAGAATTCTCAAATCTAAACACATAGTTGATACGCTTTTGGTGATTCCTTTCACACGAGAGAAGAATCAGGTTGTGATCCGAATATGTTGCTAACAGGTTCTCTAGTTTGGCAGACAGAAATGATTCCAGCCACGATGAAGTTGCTAAAGTGTAGTCCAGTCTCTCCTCCATCGCACTATCAGTTCCTTAGCTTTTAAACTAAGTGAATTGATAACCTTCTTGTTGGAAATCCACCAATACTCAATGATGAATTTCGACCACCACTTGATGATTAGTTATGACAAACAAATAAAAGAACAATTGAGATATTTCTGCAGAGTTTCTCTCTGCCCACAAACTGTGGAAATTTTTATTAATTCACTTTGCAACTGCAAAATACTGTGAATGACTTGATGACTTGAATTCAAAATAGGGGTTACTCCCTCTATTTATAGATTTAGGTTAGCTTGCTACCTAAGCTAAACCCAAGCCCAAAATATCTCTTTACTAAATCAAATCTAATCTAGATTTAAATTCAAATCTATTTAAATCTAAACAAATCAAATCTTCTTTTGACACATATGAATTACAATTTAACACACCACCTAATTCATTGTGTCTAAACTGTCTATGTTCATCATGGCTCTTAGCTTTCTGAATACTTCGACTTGCACTCCCTTCGTCATGATGTCTCCTGTACACCTTTCTTTCTTCGTCATGTTTCACAAACTCAACTGGTTGTTTAACATAGACTTCTTCATCTAAGGGTCCATTTAGGAATGCACACTTCACGTCCATCTGACATATGTGCCAACTGTTGATTTCTGCTAGACCAACAACCAGCCTGATTGTTTCGATCCTAGCAACAGGTGCAAAAACTTCGTCGAAGTCTATTCCTTCTTTTTGTAGAAATCCTTTCGCCACAAGTCTTGCTTTGTGTCGAGTTACTTCACCTTTCGAATTAGTCTTCACTTTGTATACCAACTTGACATCAATTTCCTTCTTGCCTTGAGGCAATTCGACAAGTGACCAAGTGTTGTTGTCTTCGATAGACTTTACTTCTTCATTCATTGCTTTCACCCACTTCGAATCCTTTAATGCTTCAGCTGCATTAACAGGTTCGACATCTGCATAGAAAGCATAATGTACCAGCTCACCTTCATCATCTATTACATCATCTGATGTAATCACACAATCTTGCAATCTTGCAGGCATGCGTCTTGTTCTTTGAGGTCTGCTTGTACTGGGTATATCTATTGGCTCCTCTTGTCGAACTTCTCTTTCGACTTGAGTTTCTGGCTCTTCGAATAAGATTCCCACTGAATCTTTCTTGACATTTGCAGTCCAATCCCATTCTTTGAACTCATCTATGATCACGTCCCTGCTGATCACAATCTTCTTGTTCTCTGGATCGAACAACTTGTAGCCTCCTGTCGAATGATATCCAACTAGGATCATTTGACTTGACTTGTCATCAAGTTTCTTTCTCAACTGATCTGGCACATGTCTATGTGCAATAGATCCAAATACTTTCAGATGACTTAAGCTAGGCTTCACACCAGACCAACATTCTTCTGGAGTAATTCCTTCTAG